GACATCAGAGTCACAACAAGCAGACATCATAGAGTCACACCAAGCAGACATCATAGAGTCACAACAAGCAGACATCATAGAGTCACAACAAGCAGACATCATAGAGTCACACCAAGCAGACATCATAGAGTCACACCAAGCAGACATCATAGAGTCACACCAAGCAGACATCATAGAGTCACAACTAGGGATGTAAATCGGTGACCGTTTAACCGGTGGTTGACCGTCACAGCGTTAACCGGTCAAAGCTGTCGGTTAAAAAAGAGAAAAGGGGGAGAGGGGAGGTCTTTTCATAACGTTATTTTAAGCCCTATTTGCACTATGTGACGAGCGGGTCCCTATCTAGCTGTGTGCGCCAATGTAACAGTAAACTCTGGGCCGACTCTCACGCCGTACGCGCCACATATGCACGCACACATATACACGCACACACACACATTTCCCCCCCCTCCATTGACACGTAACATCCACACGCATCATCTCTCCCCTCTGTTACCGCCTGCTAGTTGCACACTGGTGCGGGTCAGAACTATATTGGAGCTTATATTTACACAAACATACATACATGTATTGCACACACACACATACATATACACACACACAGACATATACACACATACATACATATATTGTACACACACACATACCGGTCTGTCGCGCTCCTCTGTGTCACGGAGCCCAAAGCATTCTTGCAAATGCACGGCTCCAGTCAAACCACATGGACCATGTTTGTGCTGCTGGTCCTTGGCATCAGCTCCACACTGATCACTTTTAAACTTTAGCGGAGACCTGCGAGACGCGGCTCGTCACTCGCTGCCCTGACCATGTGGACGAGCTGTCTTTTGCTTAAAAATGCTTTAAGCCGCAGCACAGAAGAATGGGAAGATTAAAACAGCAGTTCTCTGTGCGCAAAGGTGCCGAAGCTGTTGCGGGTTTTGGTGCCGCTGTCTCGGCTCTGATCCCGTAGAACGCTCAGCTGCACTTATGAAAAGTACGCGGCTCGAAATGGCTGTTATTTCAAAGAACGTGGACTATTTTAAACTACGCGGTTAACCGGTTTCAACCGGTTAATGAGGCTCGGTGGTCGGTCATGAAAATTCATAGTTTTTTACATCCCTAATGCGGCGTCTACTCTTTTTATGTCTATGTATGAGACAGTCAAAGCCTCGTTGTTACGGGGCTTCATCTGCCCTTCACGAGCGAACAGGAGACTTTTGAATGTTGCAAACTATTACAGCTAGATGAAAGGCTCTGGAGGTAAAAGACGGAAAGAGACGGCATTTTGACGCATATTATTAGTAAGTAAGTAAGCTTTATTTATATACTCCCTTTCACAGACCAGAGTCACAAAGCGGTTTACAATTGTTATTTTTGGGCACTTGTCCTCTCACTCCAGTGGATTTTGGAGAAAAAGCAAGAGAAATAAAAATAGTAAAGCACAAAACAACTGTTTCAGAGCGACTTAGGACTTCCTGCCGTTTCCCAGAGCATTGTTTAAAAAAAAAAAAAGTTCACAGAGAGGACGCTATCTTCTCACAGCATGACTCTGCTCTGTGCTCTCTGCTCTGTGCTCTCTGCTCTGTGCTCTCTGCTCTGGCTCCAGGAAAACGTTTGTGGTCTGTCCTGACACACTCCCTCCTCTCTCTCTCTCCTCCTCTATCTGTCCTTCCTCTCTGAGTCTCCACTCTCCACCTCTTTCCCTCGTCTCCCTCTCCCCCCTCCCTCTATCACTTCCTTTCTCTGTCCCTTCCTCTGAGTCTGGCCTGAAGCAGGGTTGTTCTCCTGACTCTGTGTGGGCTCACTTGTTCTTATTCTTTTATCTTGTTATTTTGTGAAAGTGGGAGGCGGCAGCTCTGAATCCCCTTGACCCAGAAATGGATGATTAAAGGGATGAAAATGTAATGTAATATAATGTAATTTTGTGAAAGTAAACCTATACATTATTATTTTTTTATCATATTAATGTTTACACAACTTTAATTTAGGTTTTTTTCGTAATTATTTTTCAAAATTAGGAATGTAATTGAAAGGTGCGGTTTTTTTGTCCGAATACACGTCACTGTAGTAAAAATACACGTGTGTCGTATTTTCAGCTGAAGAAAAGTTTATTCATATATATTCATGACATGTCTTTGTTGTGTTTTTTGCAGATCTACAAAGTCCATCTACAGAATGAGGGTCACCTGTGATCAGTGTGGAAAGACCTGCAGATCTGCTTATGCGCTAAAGAGACACTACAGAACTCACACTGGAGAAAAACCATACGAGTGTGATCTGTGTGGAACAAGTTTTACTAGAAAAGAACATCTCAAGAGCCACAGCAGAATCCACACTGGAGAAAAACCATACGAGTGTGATCAGTGTGGAAAGACCTACAGCTCTGCTTATAATCTAAAGACCCACTACAGAACTCACACTGGAGAAAAGCCATACGAGTGTGATCTGTGTGGAACAGGTTTTACTACAAAAGGAGGTCTCAAGCTCCACAGCAGAATCCACACTGGAGAAAAACCGTTCAGCTGCGACGTTTGTGATCAGAGTTTTTCTCAAAGTGGTTCTCTGAAAGCTCATCAGAGGATCCACACTGGAGAGAAACCATTCGTCTGTGGAGAATGTGGGAAGGAGTTTGCTCATTTTTCCTCCTAACAAAAGTCATGAGAGAATTCACACTGGAGAAAAAAACCATTTGCATGTGACCTCTGCAGTAAAACTTTTAGAACTGCATCAAAGCGCACAGATCACCATAGGAGCCACACTGGAGAGAAGCCGTACAAGTGTCACCTGTGTGGAACATGTTTTCCCACAAGAGGAGGTCTTAATAAACACAGCAGAATCCACACTGGAGAAAAACCCTTCAGCTGTGACGTTTGAGAGAACCACTCTGAAAAAACTCTGATCACAAAGTTCAGGATCCACACTGAGAGAAACCATTTGTTTGTGAAAATTTGTGGGAAGTCTTTTTACGTATAGGGTTTCTCTTCACAATCACATCAAAACCTGAGAAGCAGGTGTGAAGAAACGCAGCATCTGGAACAAAGTGAAGGAGACAGAGCTGAGGCTGCATCATGTGACCAAACTAATTATTGTGGATTTTAACCATCTTTTACTTTGTGTCTGGAGACTCGGATACATCATGTTTTTTGTCTGAAAGGAAAATCTTATGGTTCCTTTAAAGCTGCATCAAGTCTAAGATTCAAACTGACATGTGATGAAGGAAGGAGACAGAGTGGGTCATTATTATTCTGAACTAAAACTCTGCAGATAAAAACTATTGAAGCATATTTACAAATTCAATGTGTTTGTACAAATGTGTATTTGTGTTTCCAAAGTGGTGGGCTCTAAATGGAGAAAGAAGTAAAAAAGGATGGCAGCCTCCCCCATGAACATACAGAGCCATATATATAAACATGTGTTTCTTCTGCCGCTTTAGGACAAAGGATGCATTTTAGCTTTTTGTGCTAATTCAGCATCTTTTGATGTTGAAGCTGTTTCTGACACATTCATATGTACTGCCCTCATTCAATGAAATGAACTGATAATGTCGTCTCGTTTGGGACTGATGAATACAGAAATAATGCAATAGTTGTTTGTCGTCAGAGGGAAGAAGGGCGTCGAGGGTGAGCTGCTATCCCCAAATCTTTCCAGCAGGACCATGAAAGCAGAAGGAAGATCCAAAGTAGAGGAAAACTAGTCCAGAAAATGGATTTAGGAAGACAAGAATGAGCACCAACTGTTCTGTCCTCTGTGGTGCTGAGCACTGCAGTTCAGCCCTTTGATTTAAACAGTTTCTGGGAATAGAAGTGAATTAAATGTAGCATTACTGGATATTTGTTATAAAATGTATAAAATCCCTTCACAAGGCTCTGTTCCCAGTGAGCAGTGAAATGATCTGAAGGCTGTGTGTCTTCTCTCCAACTTTATCTGCAATTTATGTGAATGAATTAGCTCCAGAAATGAAGAATGCAAACCTGCGTTTAACATTGATGGTTTTTAATCTCAGTATTTTATTGTACGCTGCAGATATTGTGTTAATTTCAGGTTAATTACTGTGAAAGATGTCACTTGTCTATGTAACATGTCTGTTGCTATGGATACAATGTGTTCACAGTACCATTACAATGAGTAGACCATAGTACCAGAAAAGAAGAGTCCAGACTGAAACTGTGAGGATGTGTGAGTGGGTCAAAATGTATAGAAATGTGTTTATGAAAGTATAAAGGTATAAAGTGCTCACATGGAGTTTACATGTGTAGTTTTGGGCCCCGCATATAAAGCTCTGCAGATCATGGGGAGTTCCTTTTCCAAAGCACTTCCAAACCTTACGACATTAGTGTGTGAGGGCCTTGTTGACGTTTTGTAAATAAAGCAGATATTGAAGTGACCACATGGTTGTCACGTGGGCATCTTTAGTGTCACTTACTACAAGTGCATTTATGATGTATGCATGTTTCTCCACAGAACCGTGTTTTTATATGAACAGCTCTAACAATAAACAGTGAAAGCACAGCAGGAGAGCTCACACTGGAACAGTCAACACGCGCCATCTGTCGGCTGTCTCCCGAATGCACCATTAAAATCATCTGCAAAATGCAGCTTCGATTGAGTACCAGCTCGGTGTTGGGGTAGATGCAAATGAGGTTGTGGGATAGTGTTGCAAACAATTCCCCGGCAGGACACAACTACAGAGGTGGTGGTGGCGTTTGGTGTGTTTGGCATCTTACTAATAATTAAAATGAGAGTGTGTGAGCAGTGACAGGAGCAAGGGACAGGGATACACGTGCCGAGCGCACTTTTACACGCTCCAGCCGAGGAAACAACAGGACAGAGCAGGTAAGATAACCAGGATGAGCCTGGGTCACTGAGGGCTTGCCTCAATGCCTGTTTCGGATCAGAAGCACAGAGATGGCAGAGTGAAGAGTTTAGACATGTCTTTCTTCTAGCATCTTTTTTGCAGCCATCGCTGTTCCAGCTGTTTCCGGTTTTCTCAAATAGCCTCGCAGTCGAGTTCTCTCCCATTGCTCCTTCTCTCTCACAGCCCTCTCAGACTCACGCTGCAGTGCCTCTTCTCAAGTCTTTTCCTCTCAGCCAGTCTTTCACGTACTCGCTGGAGCTCCGCCAGTCTCTGCGCCTCCTTCCTCCAATCGCCTTCTTACCTAACAGCTCTTGCTTCCGCTTCTCCTACTGTAACGGTGAGCAAGAGACAGTAAGCACGTTCTCATACACTGTAAGAGTGCGGACCAGAGAAGACTGCTTTTCTCTCGTGTTCTTCACTGGGACTAGAACGTGTGACTTTAGATCCTTGCTTGCTCCATGAGAGCAGCAGAGTGATGGACTGGGCTTTTTACTAGTGATGGGTCGTGCCGGTCGGCGCTTCGGGGCGTCGAGCCGGAAATCCCTGAAGTTTTTATCGGAGCGCGGGCCGAAGCTGAGATGTTTTAGATGAATGACCGTCACCCATGACGTTTGAAGCCTCGGGAGCACAGGAAATGGAGCGGATTCATGAAGTTACTGCAGAAGATCCGCTCAAACTGTGGTTTGATCTTTGGTATTATGTAGTCAGTGATGGAGAGTACTGTGTATCAGCTGGTTGGCTCAATTGATAGGGAACGCAGGGCTTTGGACTGGGAGCCCGGGGATCGAATCTCACAGGGAGCACGTTGAACAATTGAAGATTTTGTCAGAATGTTTTGGTTTTAAACAACTGATGGGAGTCACAATACCAAAATGATATCCATTTGTCTCACGTCCTTTGAAATTCACTTACACTTTCACAGTTTTGTTTTTTGTACCTATTGGATTTATACATGTTTATGATTGACAAAAAGCAATAAATCAATCATCATTAAATATGTATATAATATATTATCTACATTATATATGGTGTGTGGTGTGCTGTGTGTGTGTGTGTATTAGAGCCGACAACTGTAACAGATACCAGTACATTATAATTTTTCTTTATTCATTTTCACTACTGATATGATCTAATGAAACAGATTAATTATTGGGTCATACACAATCAAATTACTTCTGTTACAGTAATTAATTCCTATGCACATGAGCCTCACAAACAGTTCAATTGTCAATACAGATTTTGACAAACAGGAGGTTTGTGAGCATATGAAGCATCAAGAAATGCCCTTACTCGAACAAAGGATGAAAAAGGTTCAACACTTATGAAGCTTCATCAACATCACTAGCTTTACCTAAGAAAGTGAGTGGACTTAGGTGCGTAATTGGGTCACCAGTGATAGGCAGCATTGCACCGACTGGCGCGCAGCCGGAATGCACAAGAGAAGAAGAGGCTTCGTTTGTGGAGGGGACGTGATCCGAGCTTTGGAACACTTTGATCTTTGTGCTTCCTAAAGTCAGCAGCTGATAGGAGCAGAGGGAAACATCAGCATGTTCCCGTGTAGGCTCCTTCTCCACCGCAGCTGTACTGCTCCGTCGATCGGTGCGTGTGAGTTATGCTACTGCTGTTAGCGTTGCATTAGCACAGGGACGCTAGCATTTTACTGTCTGTTCAATGAAAATGTATTCGTTTGTTAATGAACCGTATTCATTAACAGTATTCTTGGAGCCACATTCAACTCGTGTTTATAATTGTTTGTCTTCTTATCTGGGATGTTTGTCCCTTATATTAGAAAGTCCAAGGTTAAAAGTGCCTCTCGAGGACAGGAACGTCTATTCTATGAATTGTTTTGCCAATAGAAACAAAAACTATCTTAGTAGATAATAGTGTGATTTGATGGGTTTGCCACAAATGATCTTAGGGAAAACGAGCAGAAGAATAAGCAGGAACGGAGAGAAGAGTAGTATCTGTTTCCTAAAGTCGGGACACTTCGGGCTTAAAAAAGGCACCGGTTACCACTTCAAACGGGCTATAAAAAACATAAACTAAACTGTATTTCACGAACGTTACTAGCATAAAACGGAAGTTAAAAGTGTTAGCTTTCGAACGATGTTATGAATAAAACCTTATTTAACATGTGGATTTTCTTTATGCTGTTGAAACCGACAAAAACATCGATGTTTGGGCTGGAACAATTATCCTGAGTATCCTCAGGTTCAGAGTTTGTACAGAATTCACTCGAATAGCTCCGTGGTCCATCGCTCTCTCACGGCTCCGCGGCGCTTGGCGATGGGCTGCCGAAATGACTATATTTCAACAGTTTCGCATTAACAAAGATCTTGTCTTAATAACAATTTTCCCCTGGTCATTTCGTTTTAAAATATATTTTTTCACTCTAAAAGCCACAAGCACACTTGAATTGTTTTATTTATTTTAGGGATTAAAGTTTCTAAATTCCTTCTATCCCCAAACTAGAAAACTTAATATAGGTAGGCATTCACTGTAGTAGCAATTAAAAAAAATAGAAATAAAAAGTATTACATTATTGTATTTACAAAGTACACAAAAAATAGCTTTAGCTCACAGTTATACCAAAGACAACCTTCCCGAACACGCTTTGAATAGCTGCCATTACATGTCGACATTAATTTGTTTTAAATTGTTTGAAACCCAGCAGTGTCTCGGTGCCTCACATTTGATCTCAGAGACTGACCCAGCTCTGCTCCGTTTGTCATGATGTAAATGTTCATATCTGTAAGTTAATGCTCTGAATGATATGTTAATGTCACATTGTTTGCATGTGTGCAAAGTTAAAACATCCCTAACAATGCACTTTGTTTTAACAAATAGATAATGTTGATGCACAATGAGGAAGAGCTGCCTCCGATGACAGAAACCATTCTTCACACCCAAAAAACTCCAAATATCAAGTGGATAATTCAATGAGATGCTTAAGGGACTGCAGGAGGATGAGAAGAAAGAGCTTCAGGTTTTGAGGCGAGAAGGGTGTATAACTGTAAAAAAGAATATCATGAGAACATAGAGACAATAAACCATGAGAAAGTGAGAACCTCTTGCTTTAGTCCAGTGTGAAGTACAGTGGATTCGAAGTTCAAAGGATGTTGATGTTAGGGAGTGAGGTGGCATGTAACCCTCATTCTCTGTATACTTGTAATGCACTAAGGGAAAATTACCTCTAACCACACAATAAGCCCTGGTCCTGTGACCACAGAGGCCCTGTCAATGTTTCATATTGTAGGATAATGACTTAAAAGATCAGATGACTGCACTAATGTAGTGGTGATATTGTAAACTTATTCATTCAGCCCAACTTTCCATTCTTTGTGGAGACATGGGCTGAGTCCAAACGCTAGGCATCGGGCCGCGTAGGGTGGATATGTAAGCATCGTGACGTCACTTCTCAAGCGACGGCAATTGCGGGTGTCCAAAACCACTTGGCGAGATTCGCCAAGCGTAGGCATCAGGATACGTCTCTATGGAACGGCCCACTTTTGGAGCAGGATCTGAGGATGCATTGATGTATGCTTCGCAGCCTTCCTTTTAGCCAAGTCACGGCCGCGCATGCGCAGAACTCCGTTCGGCATTAACATGTAAAAAAACAAAGATCAGCTCGGATTGCTGGAGCTAACATTATGGTAAGCACTGCTATACTTTTACTGTGAGTTATGTCTATAGTAAGTATGCTTTATTTACTGTGAAGTTATGTTATAGTAAGTACTGCTTCTACTTTCTGTTGAGTTATGAACACGACTGTTATGATAAAACACAGACATAAGTTTAGATCTGCCACAGATGTGTGTATTTTAACCTTGTTATCTGGCTGTGAATAAATCGTCCGAAAGCTAATGCTCCGATGCAAGCATTGTGTTTTATGTTGTGTTTTATCTTTCTAGGAGAAACAACCACTGATTAAATATTAAAGGGCCCATATCCACGGTTTTTGACTTTTCTCTGCTTTAAACTGGAACTACAATGTATTTGTCCTTATACACAGCCCACAGTAGTTTATTCGTTGATTCTGTCAATCTTATGTAATGAGAACAATCTGTCTCCTTCCCCAGCGTGAGGCCAGAAACGCTCGGGTCCACTTAGTGACAAAAACCAATGATGACGCGCAAGACCCAGTTTGCTTGTATCTTAAAATAGTTGTTAAGATACTTTGTCAAAAAGGGGTAACAATACACACTTAGTATGAATGTTTTTTGTCAAAATTAGGTGAATGCAAGAGGTGGCAGTGCGTGACGGGCGCTAATGTGACGGTTGCATGTGTAAACTCAAACGCTTTAAAATGATGTATCACGTGCCATTGAAACCTATATTGTTTTTGCTCGAGACGTCGGAAAAAAAAATCCTTATTTCTTTCTTTTTTCTTCTGCACTTTGAGCCTTAATTTGACCCCCTGAACATGCATGAAAAGTTGTTAAATTTTGCCCAAAAATCAGACCTGGCGAAAAATTTGATATTTTAGTGTTTATTTTTATGGGACTCAAAAAATGCCAGAACAGCGCCACCTACAACAGCCAAAATAATACCCTTATGGGAGTTTTGGAGATCAAGTTTGTCGTAGAGCCATGAAATTTGGTACACATGTTCCTCAAGTCAAGACAAGAAAAAAATATTATTATGGCTCCGCCCTCTGACAAACAGGAAGCCCATAAAGTTCACTGCAAAATGGAAAAATGAACAGCAAAAGTTTTCATACATGTCGGTTGGAAAGCGACTCCTCCTCGGCCGTTTGCACAAACAAAGTCCGATTAGCACAAAACTTTAATACATTGTTCAGCTCTAGGGTTTAGGTCATTTGTTGTAGTTTTAGATGGGCATTTTCAAATTTAGTTTTTTAAAAATGTTTGAAATTTTGCACAAACATCTGTTTTGCCCTCTTGATTCAAAAAGTCAATAGGGGCCAAGGCTTATTTTTTACCCTGTTGCCGTGGCGACGACAAACGCTCCCCATTCATTGCAAATGTACACCTCACACAAACATCAAACCAGCCTCGGCCGTTTCACCGATTCGCCTCAAAATCGCTCCACATCATCTCAACACATGTACCATCAAAATGACTTCAGGGAATTTTGATCAGTGAAACGTTGTTTGAGCAGCAGAGCGCCAAAAAGTGGCGTAATTTTTTTCCGTTTTTGACAATAGAAAATTTGCTTCCGTTTGCACAAACAAAGTCTGATTTGCACAAAACTTGAATCCATGGTTCAACTCTTGGGTCTAGGTCATTTGAAAGTTTAAATTTTGAAATTGGCTCTATAGCGCCACCTACAACAGCCAATTTAAAAATGCCTATGGGAGGGGTTCAAGGTCAAAATTGTCGTAGAACCATGTAATTTGGTACACATGTTCCTCAAGTCAAGAAATGGAAAACATTTTATTATGGCTAATCCCTCTGACAAACAGAAAGCTCATAAATTGAAAACCAATCATTTTCATACATGTCTCTTGGAAAGCGACTCCTCCTCGGCCGTTTCACCGATTGGCCTCAAAATTGCTCCAAATTATCTCAACACATGTACTTTCAAAATGACTTCAGGGAATTTTAATCAGTGAAACGTTGTTTGAGCAGCGGAGCGGCAAAATGTGAGTTTTTTTTGACCGTTTTTGACAACATTGATTTTTTTCCCGTTTGCACAAACAAAGTCTGATTTGCATTAAACTTGAATCCATTGTTCAACTCCAGGGTTTAGGTCAGGTGAAAGTGAAATATTTGAAATTGGCCCATTAGCGCCCCCTACAGACTGAGTCAAAGTTTACATGGGGAGCCAAACCAGCTCTACTTATCATATTCATTACAATTTGACTAACAATCTTCTATGACTACGGGAACAAATAATTGCGCAGTTGCGCGGTGTGGCGTGTTTCGGTACAGTGTAGTTGTGGCGCGGCGCGTTGCGGCTTGGTGCGGGGCAACATGGTGCGTCACGGTACAGGGTGGTGCGGCTCGCTAAGGGGTGGTCGCGCGGTGCGGCGAGGGCCGTTCAACGCCGCTTGTGGCTTTAATTTTAATTGTATTTATAGGCTTAAAATTTAACTTATAAGTGTCCATAAGAGAAGGGGTGCTCTCAGTTTAAATGCGCCATTTTGAAAACAGTGTTGGATAAGGGACAAAAAAATGCAAGAAACGCGATTCGTTTCAAATGAGCTAATGATATTGTCGCTTTCACTGTGCCTTCACAAGTTGGAAGAAGGAACCATGGAGGACCACAGTTATGTAAAAGAACAATCCGAACAGCAATCTTTTAGAAAAATAATTAGGCAGAAGTCCAGCGTCATAGCAGCAAAGTGTCAACATCGCAAACCACACACACAAAGACGGCGTTAACACAACAGGAGGTACATTGTGTAGTTTGTACACAACAGACTCACACCTGAACAATAAGAAACTTTTTCACACTGACTGAATGAGAACGAGACAGAATCTGCAACAGTCTCAGGATGTTCTGACCCAATCCAAGCGCAGTCCAACTACTGTCACAAGTTTCAACTTAAGTTATTCTTTGGCAATTGTAAAAGTAATATTCCAGTCAGAATAATAATTGATGATACACCAATTGAGAAAGTCAAAAAAAAATGCTTTCTTAGGAGTTATTATAGATGAAGATTATAGATTTTTTGCCAGGTCTGATTTTTGGGCAAAATTGAACAACTTTTCATGCATGTTCAGGGGGTCAAATTAGGGCTCAAAGTGCAGAAGAAAAAAAAAAGAAAGAAATAAACCAAGGATTTTTTTTTTCAACGTCTTGAGCAAATATAATATAGGTTTTAATGGCACGTGATACATCATTTAAAAACATTTGAGTTTCACATTCACCATTGTGAAAGCAATAGGCCCTTACCCCGTTGGGGGCTCGGGCCTAATTACTATGTACAATACAGTGCACATGGTGCACACAATGTAAGGTGACAGCAGTACAGTGAAGTAAAGTGACGTATGATGGGCAGTAAAGTGACTTTATAAAGGGCGGGGGGACAGGTTAAGAAGTGTTCAAGAGTCCAACAGCAGAGGGGAAGAAACTGTTCTTGTGGCGGGAGGTTCTAGTCCTGATGGACCGCAGTCTCCTGCCTGAGGGGAGTGGTTGGAATAGTCCATGTGCAGGTGAGAGGGGAGTGGTTGGAATAGTCCATGTGCAGGTGAGAGGGGAGTGGTTGGAATAGTCCATGTGCAGGTGAGAGGGGAGTGGTTGGAAAAGTCCATGTGCAGGGTGAGAGGGGTCGGCTGTGATACGACCAGTCCGGCCTCGAGCTCGGGCGACGTACAGGTCCTGCAGCGATGGAAGGCTGCGGTCGATCACTTCCTCTGCAGAGCCCACAATGCGCTGTAGTCTCTGTTTGTCCCTGACTGTGGCTCCAGCGAACCACACGGTGATGGAGGAGGTGATGGAGGAGGTGATGGAGGAGGTGATGCAGGAGGTGATGGAGGATGTGATGGAGGAGGTGATGGAGGAGGTGATGGAGGAGGTGATGGAGGAGGTGATGGAGGAGGTGATGCAGGAGGTGATGGAGGAGGTGATGGAGGAGGTGATGCAGGATGTGATGGAGGAGGTGATGGAGGAGGTGATGGAGGAGGTGATGGAGGAGGTGAGGATGGACTCGATGATGGCCGTGTAGAACTGCAGCTTGGCTTTCCTGAGCTGCCGCAGGAAGTACATCCTCTGCTGGGCCTTCTTGATGAGGGAGCTGATGGTCGGCTCCCACTTGAGGTCCTGGGTGATGGTGGTGCCCAGGAAACGGAAGGACTCCACAGAGGTGATGGGGGAGTCCATCACGGAGGGTGGGGGCGGGGGGACGTTGTAGAGTCACAACAAGCAGGCATAGGTGAGTCACAGCAAGCAGACGTCACAGAGTCACAACAAGCAGACATAGTCCCATTATCGTCCTGTTCAAGTGTTATATGCAGTTTATTGTCTGTTGTCTTGTTAGTTGCTGCCAGCAGAGGGCGCACTTGTCCTGTGTGCACTCAGTGAGGAGACCATAAGCTGCATGTTACTGACACTATTAATCTGTAATAAGAAGTTTAAGGCAGAAATAACAAAAGATCAAGCATGAGATAATTCCTCCCACTGTTCACAGCCAACAAGGTCAGTTCTGGACCTGTGATTTCTGTTTAGGTCTAATCGAGTAAGAAACGACTAAAGTGAGAAAGTAATGCAATACTTTACTCTTTGTTTGCAGATCTACAAAGTCCATCTTTTTCGTCCAAATACCTGTCACTGTTGCAAAAATACACATTGTTTGTATTTTGGGCTGAAGAAACCTTTGTAATTATTATATTAATGACATGTCTTTGTTTTTTTTTTTTGCAGATCTACAAAGTCCATCTACAGAATGGGGGTCACCTGTGATCAGTGTGGAAAGACCTGCAGCTCTGCTTCTAAACTAAAGACCCACTACAGAACTCACACTGGAGAAAAACCATACAAGTGTGATCAGTGTGGAACATGTTTTACTACAAAAGGAGATCTCAAGCGCCACAGCAGAATCCACACTGGAGAAAAACCCTTCAGCTGTGACTTCTGTGGTCAGAGTTTTAGACATGAGAATACTCTGAAAGATCATCAGAGGATCCACACTGGAGAGAAACCATTTGAGTGTGACGAGTGTGGAAAAACATTTAGGAGAAAAGACCTGCTCTCAGTACATCAGCGTGTCCACACAGGAGAGAGACCTCACCAATGTGACCAGTGTGAGAAGACTTTTACACGTTTATCTCAGCTCACTCAGCACTACAGAACACACACTGGAGAAAAACCATTCGTCTGTGGAGACTGTGGGCAGGAGTTTGCTCGGTCTTCACACTACAAAAGTCATGAGAGAATTCACACTGGAGAAAAACCATTTGTATGTGACTTTTGCAGTAAAGCTTTTAGAACTACAGAGGGGCGCACAGATCACCATCGGATCCACACTGGAGAAAAACCCTTCAGCTGTGACGTTTGTGATCAGAGTTTTTCTTACAGTAGTTCTCTCAAACGTCATAAGAGGATCCACACTGGAGAGAGACCATTTGTCTGTGAAAAGTGTGGGAAGTCTTATACTTATAGATCATCTCTTCGTAAACACAGTAAAACCTGTAAGGAGCAGGTGTGAAGCATCTGGAACAAAGTGAAGGAGACAGAGCTGAGGCTGCATCATGTGAACCCAGAGTCAGACTCTACAGGATCACACTTCAGTCTTAACCAGAGGTGTGGACTCGACTCATGTGACTTGGACTCGGGTCAGACTCCAGTCATGAATTTGATGACTTTAGACTCGACTTAGACTTCAATATCAATGACTCTGACTTTCACTTGGACTTTTGCCAATTGACTTGTAAAGACTTGTGTAACCCGGGTCATTTTTACCTTTCTCCACATCTCTATTTTTATCTATGTCGTCTCTGAAGAAAAAATGTCTTGTGGTAGTTGTAGTGCTTGAGCCAGAGTTGGAACGTGAGCCGCACCTGTCGTCTGGCCCAATACTGAGATTAAATAATTATAACGGGACAGGAAATGGATGGATGGTGAAAGAGGGTTAGAAGGGCTTTTTGTAGACTCTGCTCATTTTATATCACATTATGTTGTGTTTTATATTCTCATGTAACCAAAGCATTATGAAATGTGTGTTTTTGCTCTTATAGGAATGTTTTCTACTCTTGTATGTATTACGAGACTGTATGACAAAAGCAGTGATTATGTAACTCTGTGAGAGCGACATACTGGAAAGTTCTTTCTCTGAGGAAGCAGGGGCGTAAAAGAGGTGACACAGGGGAATAGTGACAGATGATGAGGGCCATATTTGGTCAGGTGCATTTTACTGGAAGGCAATAAAAACTCCAGTTGTAAGAGACTGGAGGAGATCTCTTCACGGAGCAGGATTGGAAACAACCCTTCCATCGCCTGGCGTTTGAACAGCCAACAACTTCAGGGGAACAATTCAGAAGAGAGGGGTTGTGAAAAAATGTCCCTGCCTCAGCAGGCGAGGCGGCGTGGGCACTGGGTCGTCCCACTCAGGGAACCAGGTCTCAAGAGGCCTCGGGACTCGTGCCTCCAGGCAGTGGGGGCAGTGACAAGACTAGAGGGTGGAAGGAAGCGCACACTTCACCTCTGTGGCTTTTGTCTGCTAAAAGAAAGGAAAGAGTTAACTCAGAGGGAGAACGCCAGTGATTGACAACGGTCTTACTCAGAGAACTGCTGCTTCACAGCCCCTCACAGAGACTGCTTCACAGACCCTCACAGAGACTGCTTCACAGACCCTCACAGAGACTGCTTCACAGACCCTCACAGAGACTGCTTCACAGACCCTCACAGAGACTGCTTCACAGACCCTCACAGAGACCGCTTCACAGACCCTCACAGAGACTGCTTCACAGCCCCTCACAGAGACTGCTTCACAGAGACAGACCCTCACAGAGACTGCTTCACAGACCCTCACAGAGACTGCTTCACAGACCCTCACAGAGACTGCTTCACAGACCCTCACAGAGACTGCTTCACAGACCCTCACAGAGACTGCTTCACAGACCCTCACAGAGACCGCTTCACAGACCCTCACAGAGACCGCTTCACAGACCCTCACAGAGACTGCTTCACAGCCCCTCACAGAGACTGCTTCACAGCCCCTCACAGAGACTGCTTCACAGCTCGGAGGGAAAGGAGGAATTGGGCTGGGAGGCACCAGAAAGTTTGTATTAGCTGTTATTAGTATATTATTATATATATTGTATTGTTGTATACGCTTTGCATTTTCTGTGCTTTTTGGAAACTATATAATCATTCCTGCATTAAAATTACATAAAGTAATTCTCTATTGTCATTTTTTTTTGTGGAAAAAACGCTTGATAAATGTGAAACTAAGGTTTTTTTTTTCAAAACTTATACATTTTTATTTATAAACACACAACATACAGTATCAATAGATAATTGTCACAGATTATGAAAACAGTTACATGACAGAAATGAAAAAAGAAAAATGAGGACATACAGGGGTTTGCAAAGTCAGACCACATTGTCCACTTTAACATCCTTATATAGTAAGTCCGTGGGTTGGGGGGGGGGGCACACTAAAGGTTCAGATATGTCAGTAAAGGTTTCCTTACATTATAAAAGTTATGGGGCTTGCCAGCCAGCTCCTACCTCATTCTTTCAATGTGTAATACACCCATTAACTCTAAGCCATGCTTGGAAGACAGGTGCAGAGGAAGATTTCCAGGCTTTTAAATGCATCTCTTTGCTATAACCATCCCATATGACACAACCGTGGTGGCATTATGTCCTAGACTCTCCAGGGTTCTGGAAAAACCAATGAGAGCAGTCTCAGGGTCAGGATCTATGTTTACCCCAAATGCACCAGAATACCATCGAAATATCGAACACCAGAAACCTCAGAGTGGGGCAGAGCCAGAATAAATGAGCAAGTGTGCCTTGAGCAGTCTTGCGTCTATCACAGAGGGGTGACGTTTGAGGAGAGAATTTGTTTAACTTGACTTTCGAGTAGTGTCATCTATGTATGACCTTAAATTGTATAAGCTGAAGTCTGGCGTTGACAGAGCAATGATGTAGACCACTCAACGCTTGTTTCCATATGTCTTCTTCGATTGCAATATTATGGTCCTCTTCCCACTTCTGTTTAATTGTCATTGTCGGCTGGCCAATATTATTTAAAAAATGTTTTACTAGTGAGGACACAAGGCCCTTTGCCTCTGGGGATCCTGATCAGGGGCCGTATTCCTAAAGATTCTTAGTGCTAAAAGTTGCTCCTAGCGGCCAAATTCTAAGAATTTTCTTAGAATCTTGACCAACTCTTAGAATTTCCCCTAAAAGTGAGGAGTAGCTTCTAGTTAAGAAAAAAGCTATTCCTAAAGAATCCTAGCTCTTAAGAGTGCTCCTAAGGTGAGATCCCTTAAGAGTTGAGAAGAGGACTTTTAGCAACTTAAAAGTTCCCTAAGAGGACAAAATGGTGGACGGTAGAGGCAGGAGAAATATTCTATACACTGGATGACAGTGAATCAGTAAAACGCTGCAGATTGGATCCAGCAGGAAATCATGTTTAAAAGTCAATCATGTACAAATATACAGTTTTGTTTTATTAACAGCAATCCAGTTCAAAAAGGAGTGTGAAGAAGTTAATACTTTTAAACTCCCACCCTCTATTTATCATTCTAAATTAACTTAAATAGTTTGGTTGCTACAGCTTAGTTTATTCCATGGTGTATTTACAGTTATGCAACAGTGACATTCACAATAACATGCACTTGATTTGTGTATGTATAAAATGCTTATATTAATATTTTTTCTTAATTCCTTTTACGTCTTTCAGTATCACAGCATTTTACAGTCATATATTTAACATAATCATCTAATATATATATTATATATATAAAGTGTTATGTTATATAGTTGTTAAATATGTGTGATAAATTGGTGTGAGCAAGCTCTAATGATTGGTGATAAAAGTCAAACTTACTACAGTAAGTTAGACAATATGAGTAAATACATCTGACTTTCTACCTTTTCTGATTATTTACAATGACACAGTATTCTAAGATTAGATTCTATGATTGAGTTTGTCCATTAGAGGATCCTTATTTTGCCATTATCAAAAATATGGTTTCTTAATTTTAGGATCAACCAATCACAGCGTATTGAAATGATGACTACATACCTAGCAACGGGGTCGGCCACGCCTCACTCACTAAGTATAAAAGTTGTTGTTCAAATCCCTTGCTCAGAGTTCTCTAAAGTGTTTCTGGAATAACTTTTAAGCTCAGACTCCTAGCTAGGAGTTTTTTAGGTTAAATAGGAGCTCTCTGAGAGGAACTATTAGAATCTTTAGGAATACGGCCCCTGATCTTTAAAAGGACATTTTCCCCAGTGCTCCAGGAGCCACTCGAGGAGCACTAAAGAGTCACAGGTTGCCGACCCCAACCGGGGGGCCCGCCTGCTCTGTTGCATTCTGAGTGATATTACTGGATACATGGGTGTCATTCAGGACATGCGTTAATGCGTTAAAACATTGTTAACGCGATTATTGAAACTGTTAGTATTAGATAGCAATATGGCCTACGTGCAGGACTGTACAAGGACTCTGATTATTTTGACTCTGATGTGACTGTCTCTGTGTGACACGTCTTTCCATGTGTGACGTGACAATGACTATATAAACTGTGTACTGACTTTATTCTGTCTGAGAGAAAGAAACAATGGAACTTCTTTTTTTCCTATAGGGACTGGTTACCCACACAGCTAACCTGTTTTCTACAACATAAGACATGACAAAGACGTGACAAAGACATAACAAAGAAAATTTGATTTAGAGAGATTTGGACAGACCTCTGGGACAGCTCAAAATTTAGCTAGTATCCAATTATGCAGACTTTACAGGTGTCTGCTTACCTTGTTTTCTTTGTCCGGACTGTTCGAGAGGTCAACCAACATCTTTTCCGCGTCAAAAAATTCAATTTAAAAACAAAAGTGACAGAAGCTACAAGAAGCATCCAGGAACAGCTCTTCCAGCTGGAATCTCCGCTCCCAGATACAGCATGCCGGTCTCTCACGCCGAGGAAAAGAAAACAAAGGAAACTCCCTCAAAACAATCCAGAGAATGGCGCACACTGAGCCGCGCATCCTCCACCAAATCTGTCAGGGATGAAGCAGACAGAGACGGATCGTAGTGCGCCAAACTCTGGAAGTTTATTTAAGTTTCTCTCAAGTTCCAGCGGTTTCCTTTGTCTTAGGGTTAGACAACCCTAACCTCTGCCCCACTCTGAGGTTTCTGGTGTTCGATATTTCGATGGTATTCTGGTGCATTTGGGGTAAACATAGATCCTGACCCTGAGACTGCTCTCATTGGTTTTTCCAGAACCCTGGAGAGTCTAGGACATAATGCCACCACGGTTGTGTCATATGGGATGGTTATAGCAAAGAGATGCATTTAAAAGCCTGGAAATCTTCCTCTGCACCTGTCTTCCAAGCATGGCTTAGAGAGTTAATGGGTGTATTACACATTGAAAGAATGAGGTAGGAGCTGGCTGGCAAGCCCCATAACTTTTATAATGTAAGGAAACCTTTACTGACATATCTGAACCTTTAGTGTGCCCCCCCCCCCCCCCCCCCCCAACCCACGGACTTACTATATAAGGATGTTAAAGTGGACAATGTGGTCTGACTTTGCAAACCCCTGTATGTCCTCATTTTTCTTTATTATTGTTGTATCTTCTCATCAGCAGAAGATGGGGTTTCCCGCACAAACCAGTATAGTGTTGGAGAAGGAATGCACTCTGAGTTATGTATTAAAGAAAGAGTTTAATGACATAATAAGAATACATCAAGTCCAATTCAGGCTTAGTGCTTTCAGCCTGGGTCAGCTCCGAGAATGAGGATGGCATGACTGACCCCTAACACACAGAGGACTAGGATCTTAGTTTAGTTGAAGAAGTCATAAGACACAGTCACGAGATCCAGTAAAAGCAAACCATACATGGAAACCATTCCATTTCCATATGTCTGGCTCCACTCGCTCAAAACTAACTATGAGCAAACCAAAAGAGGACACTGTAGTCTCTGCTCGTGTGCTCACAGAGGCCTACCTCGAGTCCATGCTCGAAAAGTTCTTTAAACGAGCTGAGGTCTTATCCAAGGAAAGGTTTGAGCGCTTGGAGGAACAACTCAGCTCTATCAAAGACACTTTGTCTCAACATGCGACAGATATTGAATCACAGCGTGCTGCAGTTGCCTCCATTGACACTCGTGTCCACAGTAATGAGGCCTCCTTGGAGAAGCTCAATGATGCACTAATCCAAATGGAACAGAAGCTTGTCTCTTTCGAGGACAGAGCCAGACGTGACAACATCCGCATTTTGAATGTGAAGGAAGGAGAAGAACGTGGGGATGTATTATCCTACCTTTCATTGAATCTCCCCAAGTGGTTCCCTGGACTAGCTGCGGCTCCTCCTGAGCTCATGAGAGCTCACCGCCTTGGTCCACCTCGACAGAGCTCCTCTCCCAGGGCAATCATAGCCAAGTGTCTCCGCTTCACTGACAGAGATCGTATCCTGAATGAGGCGAGGAAAGCTCCTGTCCAGTTGTCTGGGAAATCTCTCCGCTTTGTTTCGGACTACAGCGACATCACATCCAAACGCAGACGTCCATGCTACCAGGTCATGTACCAGGCACGGATGCTGGCTTCAGTGCCTTCTTGTTGTATCCGGCAACGATCAAGCTGGAGAAGGATGGCGAACAGCACGTCTTCGTGAACCCATCTGATGCGGAGGATTTCATATCCAAGCAGTGAGTCTCCTGTATCTTCCACCGGTACACACTGCTTGTCAACAAACATGTCCGCGTGAGACTCTGTTTACTTCCGCATGTGATGACGTCACCTGCCGGTGACGCACTACGCTCACCACCGTCAATATCTCTGAATATTATTCTAACACCATCCGTTTATTTGTTATGTCAGCTAAACAGAAATGAGGTAGGCATATAGCCTAAAATACTAACTGTGGTTACGTTTGGACCATATGGGTTGCTTTTTATTTTTTCCCCTAACTTTTTCTAGTTTTTATTTTTATTTTTTGAGTTGGGGACTCCAGAATGGGGGTTTGGGGTTTGTTTGCCTGTTTGTTTTTCTATAAGGACACTATGATTTTCCCTGACAGATACCGCAATTTCAAGCTATTTTTGTTTTGTGTGCGTGTTATTGTTTTTGTATGCTTGAGTATGCATGTTTTTGTGTGTATGAATGTAAATGTTATTGACTGGTTGCTATTATATTCATTTTCTCTACACTATTTTTTCTCTAACTTCTTCTCTTTCATTAAGTATGGTTAATGGTATTAAAATTATTCATGTGAACATTAGGAGTCTGTTACCTAAAATCAATCTGCTTCGTGCCTGGGTAACCTACAATACGCCCTCTGTTATTACAATATCTGAAACATGGCTCTCTCCTGGCATTTCTGACAATGTCATTCATTTGGACAATTACACACTGTACAGAGCAGACAGAGATTCCAGAGGAGGAGGAGTCGCCACTTACATTTGATCTACTTTTCACTCACATCTGATTTCACCCACAGAGAAACCAACACAGTTTGAGGCTATATTTGTTCATTTAATTCTTCATGAAAACAAACATCTCATCATTGGCAATATCTACAGACCGCCTAACTCTCCATCCGACTCAGTAAAAAACATTCTCTCTACTCTCTCATGCCTAGGCAATAACAATGAACTCATCATATTAGGTGATTTTAACATAAACTGGTTGGCTCGCTCTTCTGCATCTGAGCGTCACTCTTTTAACAGCTCCAACCTATCTCAATTGTTAAATGATCCCACAAGAATCAGCCCCACATCCCAAACTCTTCTGGACTGGATTTTAGTGACTCGTCCTGATAGATTTGTTGAATCTGGTGTATTATCTGACTGTTTCAGTGATCACTGCATTATTTACTGTATCTGGAAAATTAAAACTCCCCCGTCTTCCACCAAAATTTATCAAAATCCGTAAAACAAAATTTCTCAACATAAATAACTTCATTAGTGACATACTAAATATTAATTGGGACAGACTTATCTTAATACCCTCTATAAATGAAGTCTGGGACTACTTTCACACAGAATTATTAAATGTCATCAATAAACACGCACCATTGACTGAAATCAGGGTTAAGGGAAACTCCCCTGGGTAAATGGGGAGCTGCTCAGTCTTTACAGGATAAGGCTTGGTCTAAATTCAATACTTCAAAGCTCGTCGCTGACTGGGAGGACTACAGACGGCTGCGCAACTCCTGTACCACTCAAACAAGAAATGCCAGATCCAATTACCATAAAAATTGTTTAACAAATAACTTCAATAACCCTAAAAAATTCTGGAAACACATCAACAATATATCCGGTAAATCAAATTCTGACTCCAACAATATTCTGATTAATGATGCACTCACACTCACTTGTGGCAGCAGTTTCTCTTTTAGACCAGTGAGTCCAGCTGCAGTAGAATGCATACTAAACGGGCTGTCTCTGGGCAGTGCCGGTCCTGATGGCATAGAGACAAGGTACATTAAAATGGCCTCTCATGTTCTGTGCTTTCCTCTGGCAGATCTATTCAACCTTTCATTTAGCTCTTGTGAAGTTCCCTCTGCCTGGAAACGTGCAAAGGTGGTGACATCAGTGACATGAATTACTATAGGCCCATCTCAATAATCAATAGCATTGTAAAAGTATATGAAAAAATAGTTTTTGATCAATTATCTGAACACATATCATCTAAAAATCTTCTATCTCCACTCCAATCTGGCTTCAGGAAACATTTTTCAACAACATCTACATTACTAGTTTTCTAATGACATTTTTTCTGGTTTTGACAACTCTTTTTTTACTGGTGCTTTATTTATAGACTTATCAAAAGCCTTTGATATGGTTGACCATTATCTTCTTTTAGACAAACTTCACTGTATTGGTCTGGATAGATCCTCACTCCTCTGGTTCAATTCCTATCTACATCACTGTCAACAATGTGTCTTTTACAATGGTAGCTACTCTGGTTTTTCTTTTATCGAGAGAGGTGTGCCACAAGGTTCTTCACTGGGTCCACTTCTTTTCTCCATTTTTATGAATGACCTTCCCCTTGCCTGTACAGACTGTAGCATTCAACTTTATGCAGATGATACAGTGATTTACACATCCAATGATAACATCATCAATATTCAACAATCTATCCAACATGACTTTAATTCGGTTCAACACTGGCTAAAATCTAACAAATTATTACTGAACAAATCAAAAACAGTTGTCATGTTGTTCCAGAAAAAAATGCATCCTATTTTCTCTAACAAAATTCAGCTTACTTTTTCAGACATGTGTCCAGTTCCAGTCGTTGATAAATTTAAATATCTTGGTTTGTGGCTTGATCCTTCTCTATCATTTAACATTCATATACAAACAATCACAAACAAAATTTCATATAGACTAAAAGTACTTTACCATTCATTGAACTGTTTTAGTTTATCCGTTAGGAAGAGGATCATTTGTCAACTTATTTTACCTATTCTTGATTACAGTGATATAATTTATCAAAACACCACTGCCTCTGTCCTCCAGCCCCTGAACGTCACCTACCACAGCCTGTGCAGGTTCATTCTCCGTCCCTTTAGAACGCACCACTGCCTCTGTCCTCCAGCCCCTGAACGTCACCTACCACAGCCTGTGCAGGTTCATTCTCCGTCCCTTTAGAACGCACTACTGCCTCTGTCCTCCAGCCCCTGAACGTCACCTACCACAGCCTGTGCAGGTTCATTCTCCGTCCCTTTAGAACGCACCACTGCCTCTGTCCTCCAGCCCCTGAACGTCACCTACCACAGCCTGTGCAGGTTCATTCTCCGTCCCTTTAGAACGCACTACTGCCTCTGTCCTCCAGCCCCTGAACGTCACCTACCACAGCCTGTGCAGGTTCATTCTCCGTCCCTTTAGAACGCACCACTGCCTCTGTCCTCCAGCCCCTGAACGTCACCTACCACAGCCTGTGCAGGTTCATTCTCCGTCCCTTTAGAACGCACTACTGCCTCTGTCCTCCAGCCCCTGAACGTCACCTGCCACAGCCTGTGCAGGTTCATTCTCCGTCCCTTTAGAACGCACTACTGCCTCTGTCCTCCAGCCCCTGAACGTCACCTGCCACAGCCTGTGCAGGTTCATTCTCCGTCCCTTTAGAACGCACCACTGCCTCTGTCCTGCAGCCCCTGAACGTCACCTACCACAGCCTGTGCAGGTTCATTCTCCGCTGTCCCTTTAGAACGCACTAGTGCCTCTGTCCTCCAGCCCCTGAACGTCACCTGCCACAGCCTGTGCAGGTTCATTCTCCGTCCCTTTAGAACGCACTACTGCCTCTGTCCTCCAGCCCCTGAACGTCACCTACCACAGCCTGTGCAGGTTCATTCTCCGTCCCTTTAGAACGCACTACTGCCTCTGTCCTCCAGCCCCTGAACGTCACCTACCACAGCCTGTGCAGGTTCATTCTCCGTCCCTTTAGAACGCACTACTGCCTCTGTCCTCCAGCCCCTGAACGTCACCTACCACAGCCTGTGCAGGTTCATTCTCCGTCCCTTTAGAACGCACTACTGCCTCTGTCCTCCAGCCCCTGAACGTCACCTGCCACAGCCTGTGCAGGTTCATTCTCCGTCCCTTTAGAACGCACTACTGCCTCTGTCCTCCAGCCCCTGAACGTCACCTACCACAGCCTGTGCAGGTTCATTCTCCGTCCCTTTAGAACGCACTACTGCCTCTGTCCTCCAGCCCCTGAACGTCACCTACCACAGCCTGTGCAGGTTCATTCTCCGTCCCTTTAGAACGCACTACTGCCTCTGTCCTCCAGCCCCTGAACGTCACCTACCACAGCCTGTGCAGGTTCATTCTCCGTCCCTTTAGAACGCACTACTGCCTCTGTCCTCCAGCCCCTGAACGTCACCTACCACAGCCTGTGCAGGTTCATTCTCCGTCCCTCCGTCTCCTTTGAACGTCACCTACCAACAGGTTCATTCCGTCCCTTTAGAACGCACTACTGCCTCTGTCCTCCAGCCCCTGAACGTCACCTACCACAGCCTGTGCAGGTTCATTCTCCGTCCCTTTAGAACGCACTACTGCCTCTGTCCTCCAGCCCCTGAACGTCACCTACCACAGCCTGTGCAGGTTCATTCTCCGTCCCTTTAGAACGCACTACTGCCTCTGTCCTCCAGCCCCTGAACGTCACCTACCACAGCCTGTGCAGGTTCATTCTCCGTCCCTTTAGAACGCACTACTGCCTCTGTCCTCCAGCCCCTGAACGTCACCTGCCACAGCCTGTGCAGGTTCATTCTCCGTCCCTTTAGAACGAAAACAAACGCACTACTGCCTCTGTCCTCCAGCCCCTGAACGTCACCTACCACAGCCTGTGCAGGTTCATTCTCCGTCCCTTTAGAACGCACTACTGCCTCTGTCCTCCAGCCCCTGAACGTCACCTACCACAGCCTGTGCAGGTTCATTCTCCGTCCCTTTAGAACGCACACACTGCCTCTGTCCTCCAGCCCCTGAACGTCACCTACCACAGCCTGTGCAGGTTCATTCTCCGTCCCTTTAGAACGCACCACTGCCTCTGTCCTCCAGCCCCTGAACGTCACCTACCACAGCCTGTGCAGGTTCATTCTCCGTCCCTTTAGAACGCACTACTGCCTCTGTCCTCCAGCCCCTGAACGTCACCTACCACAGCCTGTACAGGTTCATTCTCTGCTGTCCCTTTAGAACGCACCACTGCCTCTGTCCTCCAGCCCCTGAACGTCACCTACCACAGCCTGTGCAGGTTCATTCTCCGTCCCTTTTAGAACGCACTACTGCCTCTGTCCTCAAGCCCCTGAACGTCACCTACCACAGCCTGTGCAGGTTCATTCTCCGTCCCTTTAGAACGCACTACTGCCTCTGTCTTCCAGCCCCTGAACGTCACCTGCCACAGCCTGTGCAGGTTCATTCTCCGTCCCTTTAGAACGCACCACTGCCTCTGTCCTGCAGCCCCTGAACGTCACCTACCACAGCCTGTGCAGGTTCATTCTCCGTCCCTTTAGAACGCACTACTGCCTCTGTCCTCCAGCCCCTGAACGTCACCTACCACAGCCTGTGCAGGTTCATTCTCCGTCCCTTTAGAACGCACTACTGCCTCTGTCCTCCAGCCCCTGAACGTCACCTACCACAGCCTGTGCAGGTTCATTCTCCGTTGTCCCTTTAGAACGCACCACTGCCTTCTGTACGAGCAGCTTTCCTGGCTCTCTCTGTCCTCCAGACGTCAGCTACATTGGCTATTATTTATTTTTAAATGCATTAATCTTAGTTTTTCTGACTATTTAAAACAATATTTGATTCCTTTTCAATCCTCCTACAGTTTGCGTCATGCAAATCAGTCCTTTTTTTCAGTCCCAAGATTGAAAAAAGAAGTTGGGAAACATGCATTTAAATGTAAAGCAGCGTCTGATTGGAACAGTTTGCCCTCATCTGTTCGCTCTCTGAGTTCTCTGGCTCAGTTTGAGAATGCTCTTGTGCCAAATCTCCAAAATCAGTGTCATTGTTTTTGATTTTGGGTTACATAATCCTATGTTTACTGCCTTTAATATTAATAAGTTTAGTATTTTCACTATTTATTGTCTGCATCAAATATATTTACAACAGTCATGGTGTGTGTGTGTGTGTGTGTGTGTGTGAGTTTGTGTGAGAGTCTGTGTGTGTGTGTGTGTGTGCGTGTGAGTATTGTTTATTGTTGCTTTTTGTCCTTTGTCTTTATTGTTTACTTTATTGTATTGCATTGTATCTGTCACCTCTGTTACCTTTTTGAGGACCCCCTCGAAAACGAGATGTTTCATCTCTAGGGGCTTATCCTCCAAATAAAAAAAAAATACATTAAGGAGAGCCATGTACATTGTCCTAACATCAGTGCTGCTCACATGTCTGCCTCATGACTGAGAAAAGGATCATTAGAGTCAGCTGCTTCTACCATTTTGACCCAAATGTTCCCAACACATTTTGAAGATACATGCTGTATCTGTAGAAGTTATAATAGCAGATACTAGATTATCTTTTTTCATTTCTGTCATGTAACTGTTTTCATAATCTGTGACAATTATCTATTGATACTGTATGTTGTGTGTTTATAAATAAAAATCTATAACGTTTTGAAAAAAAAAACCTTAGTTTCATATTTATCAAGCGTTTTTTCCAAAAAAATGATAATAGAGAATTACTTTATGTAATTTTAATGTAGGAATGATTATATAGTTTCCAAAAAGCACAGAAAATGCAAAGCGTATACAACAATACAATATATATAATAATATACTATCCATCCATCCATCCATTTTCTACCCTTTAATCCATTTCTGGGTCAGGGGGGTGGCAGTCAGAGATGCCACCCAAGTCTCATAGCACCAGCCCCTCACTGACCCTCTGCAGGTGGTGAGTCCACAGGAGGACGGCTGCTCTTTGAGTGTGAGCATAGCCTTGATCTTTCAGTGGGGGCTTTAATTAATAATATACTAATAACAGCTAATACAAACTTTCTGGTGCCTCCCAGCCCAATTCCTCCTTTCCCTCCAGGCTGTGAAGCGGTCTCTGTGAGGGTCTGTGAAGCAGTCTCTGTGAGGGTCTGTGAAGCAGTCTCTGTGAGGGTCTGTGAAGCAGTCTCTGTGAGGGGCCGTGAAGCAGTCTCTGTGAGGGTCTGTGAAGCAGTCTCTGTGAGGGTCTGTGAAGCAGTCTCTGTGAGGGTCTGTGAAGCGGTCTCTGTGAGGGTCTGTGAAGCAGTCTCTGTGAGGGGCTGTGAAGCAGTCTCTGTGAGGGTCTGTGAAGCGGTCTCTGTGAGGGTCTGTGAAGCAGTCTCTGTGAGGGTCTGTGAAGCGGTCTCTGTGAGGGTCTGTGAAGCAGTCTCTGTGAGGGTCTGAGAAGCAGCAGTTCTCTGTGAGTAAGACCGTTGTCAATCACTGGCGTTCTCCCTCTGAGTTAACTCTTTCCTTTCTTTTAGCAGACAAAAGCCACAGAGGTGAAGTGTGCGCTTCCTTCCACCCTCTAGTCTTGTCACTGCCCCCACTGCCTGGAGGCACGAGTCCCGAGGCCTCTTGAGACCTGGTTCCCTGAGTGGGACGACCCAGTGCCCACGCCGCCTCGCCTGCTGAGGCAGGGACATTTTTTCACAACCCCCCTCTTCTGAATTGTTCCCCTGAAGTTGTTGGCTGTTCAAACGCCAGGCGATGGAAGGGTTGTTTCCAATCCTGCTCCGTGAAGAGATCTCCTCCAGTCTCTTACAACTGGAGTTTTTATTGCCTTCCAGTAAAATGCACCTGACCAAATATGGCCCTCATCATCTGTCACTATTCCCCCGTGTCACCTCTTTTACGCCCCTGCTTCCTCAGAGAAAGAACTTTCCAGTATGTCGCTCTCACAGAGTTACATAATCACTGCTTTTGTCATACAGTCTCGTAATACATACAAGAGTAGAAAACATTTCTATAAGAGCAAAAACACACATTTCATAATGCTTTGGTTACATGAGAATATAAAACACAACATAATGTGATATAAAATGAGCAGAGTCTACAAAAAGCCCTTCTAACCCTCTTTCACCATCCATCCATTTCCTGTCCCGTTATAATTATTTAATCTCAGTATTGGGCCAGACGACAGGTGCGGCTCACGTTCCAACTCTGGCTCAAGCACTACAACTACCACAAGACATTTTTTCTTCAGAGACGACATAGATAAAAATAGAGATTTGGAGAAAGGTAAAAATGACCCGGGTTACACAAGTCTTTACAAGTCAATTGGCACAAGTCCAAGTGAAAGTCAGAGTCATTGATATTAAAGTCTAAGTCGAGTCTAAAGTCATCAAATTCATGACTGGAGTCTGACCCGAGTCCAAGTCACATGAGTAGAGTCCACACCTCTGGTTAAGACTGAAGTGTGATCCTGTAGAGTCTGACTCTGGGTTCACATGATGCAGCCTCAGCTCTGTCTCCTTCACTTTGTTCCAGATGCTTCACACCTGCTCCTTACAGGTTTTACTGTGTTTACGAAGAGATGATCTATAAGTATAAGACTTTCCACACTTTTCACAGACAAATGGTCTCTCTCCAGTGTGGATCCTCTGATGACGTTTGAGAGAACTACTGTAAGAAAACCTCTGATCACAAACGTCACAGCTGAAGGGTTTTTCTCCAGTGTGGCTCCGATGGTGATCTGTGCGCTCCTCTTTAGTTCTAAAAGCTTTACTGCAAAAGTCACATACAAATGGTTTTTCTTCAGTGTGAATTCTCTCATGACTTTTGTACTGTGAAGACCGAGCAAACGCCTGCCCACAGTCTCCACAGACGAATGGTTTTTCTCCAGTGTGTGTTCTGTAGTGCTGAGTGAGCTGAGATAAACGTGTAAAAGTCTTCTCACACTGGTCACATTGGTGAGGTCTCTCTCCTGTGTGGACATGCTGATGTACTGAGAGCAGCTGTTTGATCCTAATTTTTTTTCCACACTCGTCACACTCAAATGGTTTCTCTCCTGTGTGGATCCTCTGATGATCTTTCAGAGTATCCTCATGTCTAAAACTCTGATCACAAACGTCACAGCTGAAGGGTTTTTCTCCAGTGTGGATTCTGCTGTGGCGCTTGAGACTTCCTGCTTGAGAAAAAAATGTTCCACACTGATCACACTTGTATGGTTTTTCTCCAGTGTGAGTTCTGTAGTGGATCTTTAGTTTAGAATCAGAGCTGCAGGTCTTTCCACACTGATCACAGGTGAGCCCCATTCTGTAGATGGACTTTGTAGATCTGCAAAAAACACAACAAAAACATGTCATTAATATAATAATTACAAAGGTTTCTTCAGCCCAAAATACAAACAATGTGTATTTTTGCAACAGTGACAGGTATTTGGACAAAAAAGATGGACTTTGTAGATCTGCAAACAAAGAGTAAAGTATTGAATTACTGTTTCACTCTATGTCTGCTTGTTGTGACTCTATGATGTTTGCTTGTTGTGACTCTATGATGTCTGCTTGTTGTGACTCTATGATGTCTGCTTGTTGTGACTCTATGATGTTTGCTTGTTGTGACTCTATGATGTCTGCTTGTTGTGACTCTATGATGTTTGCTTGTTGTGACTCTATGATGTTTGCTTGTTGTGACTCTATAATGTCTGCTTGTTGTGACTCTATGATGTCTGCTTGTTGTGACTCTATGATGTCTGCTTGTTGTGACTCTGATGTCTGCTTGTTGTGACTCTATGGTGTCTGCTTGTTGTGACTCTATAATGTCTGCTTGTTGTGACTCTATAATGTCTGCTTGTTGTGACTCTATAATGTCTGCTTGTTGTGACTCTGTGATGTTTGCTTGTTGTGACTCTATGTCTGCTTGTTGTGACTCTATGATGTCTGCTTGTTGTGACTCTATGATGTCTGCTTGTTGTGACTCTGATGTCTGCTTGTTGTGACTCTATAATGTCTGCTTGTTGTGACTCTATGATGTCTGCTTGTTGTGACTCTATGATGTCTGCTTGTTGTGACTCTATGATGTCTGCTTGTTGTGACTCTGGTGCTTTCACACCGTCAACGCTGATACGCTGAAGCCTCGCTCACCAGACGCACATTCTCTAGTTTTCAGACGCAGGGGTCTTCAGACCGAGAAGTCTTGGCGTGCGTCGGAAGTGGTGGAAGTAGCCGGCGGGCTATGATGCTAACAGAGTTTAGCTAGCGGCTTCTTGTGTCAAGTTCTGCTCCAATAATGCAGCTTTGCAGCGTATCTGTGTTCGGAGACTTTCCACAGACTTTATATAACAGCAGTATGTGTTCACCGAGGTGACTTTATATAACAGCAGTATGTGTTCACAGAGGTGACTTTATATAACAGCAGTATGTGTTCACGGAGGTGACTTTATATAACAGCAGTATGTGTTCACAGAGGTGACTTTATATAACAGCAGTGTGTGTTCACGGAGGTGACTTTATATAACAGTAGTATGTGTTCACGGAGGTGACTTTATATAACAGCAGCATGTGTTCACGGAGGTGACTTTATATAACAGCAGTATGTGTTCACGGAGGTGACTTTATATAACAGCAGTATGTGTTCACGGAGGTGACTTTATATAACAGCAGTATGTGTTCACAGAGGTGACTTTATATAACAGCAGTGTGTGTTCACGGAGGTGACTTTATATAACAGCAGTATGTGTTCACAGAGGTGACTTTATATAACAGCAGTATGTGTTCACGGAGGTGACTTTATATAACAGCAGTATGTGTTCACGGAGATGACTTTATATAACAGCAGTATGTGTTCACGGAGTGATTTAATGCCACAGAATATTCATTTTTTAGACGATGTAAACACCAAGGGCACCAAATTAAAGATTAACCTCTCTGCTTTACTCTGAAAAAAACAGTTTGTTTCTACCTCTTACCGTTCTTGAGCTATTTGCCATAGAACAAAGCATACTTTCACCCATAACACCTGGTCTGAGCAAGAAAACAGAAAACGAGCTGTATGTAAACAGGAACATATCAAGCAGAAAAGACTTTTAGATGCATTTTTGCTGCTTTAGTGACAACTCAAAACATCTTCACACTTGTTCCATTACAAAAATTATAAAAACATGACTCTGAAATAATACTTTTGATGGCAAATTGTTGGCAATTTATTCACAGATAGAAAATTTTACTTTCTTCTATACCATCAACCAAAACGTCAAACAACAACAACACAAAGATCAATAAAACTATAGATGTATAAAATAGAATGAAGCGTGTGAATTTGAGTGTGTGTGTGTGTGTGAATGTCAGTGTGCGAGTGAGTGTCTGTGTGAGTGAGTGTCAGTGTGTGTGAATGTCAGTGTGCGAGTGAGTGTCTGTGTGCGTGAGTGAGTGAGTGCGTGTGAGTGAGTGAGTGAGTGCGTGTGAGTGAGTGAGTGAGTGTGAGTGAGTGAGTGTGTGTATGAGTGAGTTTATCTGCTTTTCAGTCCTCCCAGTAGTTCAGCTTTGAGTTGTAGAGGTTGAAACACTGTGTGCAACGGAACACGACACGCTGTGTACCATTTGTAGTTCTCCCTCCGTGAAGAAGAGCTCCAGAAAGTCTGGATCAGATGAATCCAGCTCCAGAAAGTCAGCTGGATCAGATGAATCCAGCTCCAGAAAGTCTGGATCAGATGAATCCAGCTCCAGAAAGTCTGGATCAGATGAATCCAGCTCCAGAAAGTCTGGATCAGATGAATCCAGCTCCAGAAAGTCTGGATCAGATGAATCCAGCTTCGCAGCCTCTGTCCGCAGCCTCTGTGGTCCAGGAGCTCCTGTGAAGGGACTGACTCGGCTCCCACTGATCCTCCTGTCAGCCATCTTCCCCAGAGCTTCTGGGTGACGAACGTGCTGGAAAATGGATACACACAATAACTATATTATACAGTGAATTTGTTACAATAAATCAATACACAAAATACAATGAAGGCCTTCCTCCCACATTATCGACTGACTACTTTTGGACCAAACACAGTATACTATATTATTATTATATTATATTGCCATGAGATGTACAAGAATAGAAATAGTAGTCCTTTTACCTTTTTTGTGCACAGCAACTGCCTCTTGATGCACCACCTGTATATAATATAAATTTGTAAATCACTATACCAGGAGAATATATACAATAATATGTACAATGGTATGAGGAGGAATCATCTTTACCTCTGCTCCTTGCCCTGTCAACCCCAATGGGGGAGGGCTCTTTTATCAGAATCTGTGAATGAACACATTTCATTTAGTCAGAGCTATGACACTACAACAAGATGTTCAAGCATGAAATAACTAAACATAAAAATAATAAATACAACAATGATAAAACGAATAACTGGCATTTACTAAAGAAACAGTAGGATTTGAGCGCTGTGTTACTTAGCAGATCAAAGCAAGTTTCCGCGCCTTTCCCTCCTCTCAAGTTAGCATATTCTAGGTAATTCAGCAAGTTCTTACCTTCGACTCTTTGTGGAGCTTCTGGAGAGGATGCTCTGCTGGATTGAGACTGCAACCACTCATCCGATAAATCATGATCAGGTTCTCTGAACGAATCCGAGGCATCAGTAACAACAGCAGCTGATACGCTGCGAGAGGCGGAAGGTGTGTCTCTGCTCCGGGCTCTTGCTCCGCGCAAA